TAATTTAAACTTTTGTGCAATAATAATTAAGAATGATGTGAAAATCACGATTAATTGCAAAAGATAATCAAACATAAAATTCTATGCGTTATATATATATATATGTGGTGAAGATAAAATGATTCGGAAAAGGTTATTTACTTAAGTGTACCGTGAGATAATTTGTTTTTAGTTATAGACTTTGGATATTTAGGAATAATATATGTTTGGAAGGATAAGAAGAGATAAAAAGAATATCTTATGTGTCGAATGACTAGTAATGATAATAATAACAGTAATAATTTTAGATACGAACATAACCAGACTTCATATATTAAGATGAATGGAAAGAAAATAAAGTAAAATAGACGTTAAAAGTTTCAAGGATCGCATCTTGCTTTTCAGTCAGTTAAATGGATGACGGACCTTGTTTGTATAAATCATTATTAAATACATTCATATTCAATAGGTGACACAATCCACTTTCGGAAAGAAAATCATTAAGGAGACTTCTGAACTGGTTTGTAGTTTCACTGCAACGGAGGTTTACTGGCAGTCTGTTCCACATGGTTGAGTAGCGAATAACGAAGAAATTGTGAAGTAAGTTTGTGTGGTATCTTGGAATTGCTAGAGTATTTTCCTTATTGCGTAAATTGTGGGATATCATAGAGTATGAAGTGGTTGATACTGAAGAGTAGGAAATACCGTTAATAAGCCGGTAGATAAAGACAACGTCTAATTTGATACGTCTGATTCAGAGAGGTCCTAATTTGAGTTTTTGACATCTTTGGAAAAGCCGGTGGCATTAGAAAAATAGCCTTTTCATTGCTATTGGATATAACACCTGATAAGAGCATAGTGTACATATCGAGAGCCGGACCAAGAAGGCTATCAGGTCTATATGTGTGACCAAGTGGCCATTTGCAATTCAGATTTCTATTTATACCTGACGTATGGGTAACATGCTCTAGACGTTTGTTTCCAAGATTTGTGATTAATTTTGGCTTCTTCATAATTTGGGGAGAATTGTGTGATGTTAAACATCGTTGTGATGGTTTGCGGGGTTCGAATAAATCGACGTTAAGTGTGCGTTCAGTTATAGAAATGTTATGGTTAGTTTTCCTGTTATATATTACACAGTTACTGTAATTGGGCGTTGCACTAACAGGGAATTGGACTGTGTTATCCCATTCTTTATCAGCACAACTACTTTGGGTTGAATCTAAGTCAACATTCTTAAGAAGATGGATACCACCTACATCGGGATTACTTTCTTCTGGGTTTTGAAATTTAGGAGATTCAAAGGTTTTTTGGTGGCGGCATACTTGTAAAGCTAGACGTCTTCTTAGAAACGGAGTTAATTTTACGACCATTAGGATTATGATGCGTTTGGGAGTTTGACGCTGATGGTCTGTAGCTATCTCTTCCTGCTTTTCGCTAGCATGGTGCTCTATCTGAAAGAATCTCAATATCCTTGAGAGTCTTATTGTCTCAATGCATTGGAGAAAGTTAAAAATTCACTGGCGTCTACAGATGAGTTGAATTTGAACAAGATCGGTGAGTGCATACCAGGCCGACTTCTTTTTAGTCTTGTGCATACACATGTTACGTATGTCATATTGCTGGCTCTAAGAAAACTAGATTTGATATTTTTAAGAGCACGTGTGTCTGGTATATTTAACACAATTTCATCGCTAGATCGTCTTATTCTTTCAAATACCTCTGATGCAACACGACCTAGGAAATTATTTATGTCATTCATTTGATTTGAAGTCTCTGTGAGGTTGGGGTTGATGAGATATTCAAGCGGATCGAAAATGTTCATGTGAACTTGTAACTTTTTTATATCATCCATATTGTTGCAGATGCGATTATCATCACTTTGTCTACCAACAGAGTTTTCAGCATATCTGGAATGGAGACAACTGGTAAAAGCTTGTATGCTTCCGTATGAACGGAGTAGCTCGTCTCTTTGAAACTGTCGGAAATCGTGTCAGTAGTATTGTTAGATTGTGTCGTTTTCCTACGTTTGGCTGGACGCCTAGATGCAGGGGTCATCATTCTTTTTTTGGCAGGATAAGAAAGTGACGTATAGCAGATGGATCGAATAAAATGTTGGAACTAGAAATAGGTGAAAGAATTAATGCCAAGGGCTCAATTTAGTCTAGAAATCGAAACCTATGTTTTAACCAATGGTGAATGTATCATGAGAATTAGTGAAGGTGTCAAAAACAAGGGATGAGAATGGTAGGAAGATACTAGTGGAGATGTAGTATTTATGTCAGTAACTGAGCGAAAGCGAAATAGATCATAATGGAGCACGTTGTGTAAATTTTAACGTATATATTACATGATAGATAGCCTTATATTATAAAGTAATTTGAAAATGTCGATAATTAGTATCAAGCAATCAAAGTGAGTATATGATACATACATTAACTGAAAGTCCGCATTAGTAAAAGTTGGGAGGTGCAGAGATAAGTATTTTAGAAGATTATGTTGCTTTATGAACAAACATAAGAAACAGCTTTTGGATAAAAACACTGTCAAAGAAAAAAAAACTATGACAGACTCACCGAATTGGACAGGTAATTTCAGAAATTAAATGAGTTATAGTATTCAAATACGATTTAAATGACAGTGGGTTATATCATCTAACCTACTAGACTAATTCTTAAAAATCACTGAAAAATGGTATTAACAAGGTAAACGACTTAAAGACGTGTAAGGGCCCCGTGACTTTTCATGCTGAAGTTGCTTCAGGACATCATTAAAAAAAGGAATCTGATATATCACATAGTGAGATACTGCAGTTCTCTTCAGTGGTGGGATATGTGGCGTCATAACAATTAATTACGAGTGTATTTTATTACGAATTTATGGAACAGTTTTCTGTATCCTTATTCGCCTTTTTATTCTGGTTTGGCAACCGATAATAGTTAACCCCATTGTAGTTCATTCATAACTTGAATGTGAACTCTCCTGCCATGAAATCTCATCATATTACTGAGAGTCTCAGTTAAATCATACAACCTTGTCTGATCACTAAATAATTACTGTACAACAAGCAGATTATGAATTGACTAAACACATAAAGTTTCAGTGATATAACCATCCCATCTGTGTTAATAACTACTGTTCACAACTAACATTCTGTATTTTTTGTTACCAAAAGTGGTTGGATTACCGATGTTTTTACCGGTTATCACACAGAAAAAGTTCATAATGGTTGATGGACTTTATATCCCACTCCACCTCTCAGAATGATCATCAACTAGTACAGTTGATAACATAGGTTACTTGGTTGGTTTTCTAATGACAATAAGAAAAAAGGTGATGCAGAATGAAGCTTCAGTACACCTATTTATGTGATTGATCATTGAAATAATTTATTGCCTGTAACCACACAACTTATTAACACTGTAACCAATTCACTAAGCCTTTACTAATAGCCTCAGACTTCGGCTACTAGAGAACTTGATGGTTCACTCTCTCCAAGGGCTAGTCAATATATCAGTGATTTATGTGAACCAGAAAATCACGATCAATTGACGCTACTCTGCGATTTCAGAAGGTTAGCGGGTTAGCAAGTAACCTTTTTTGACTCCCAAGAGAACTTAGTTTGTAAGCATGTAGTGTAAGAATGACTCAATCTTAACTTTATGATCATCACAACTGCCAAAAACAACGAAATTGCCTCGATACCAGATGTTTCTACGTTTAACCTTATTTGTGGCCATATTATTTATTCAGGGTCACTTCTACAATCCTCGTAATCGTGATGGGTGGTGAAAACTCAGACTATGTAAACAAAAAGGAAACTTCGGCTTTTCCCTCTTGAATTAAACTAACTTAAAGGAGTATTCCTCTCGAACGTGAATTCGCAAACACGTTTACGGAAATTGTACGGTTGATTTCAGCCTTTTTTTACAACGAATTCCTAAAAATATTGCACTCACAATTAACTCTTTTTTAACATAGGTGCTTAATTTACATTTCAAGAATCAGACTCCAAGCGTGTAGACTGCATGATCTCTAGCTTTTTTTCAAGTATCAACTGCTTTTTTAGTGCGGATAGGAGTATTTTGCAAAATTAGATGTTCGGTTGACCTGTCAAATATCATTGGTTGACACTGACGGATGCACCATAGAAAGTAGAACCAGATTTGAATTAGGTCACTTGAATGTAACACTCAATTTCTTACGTTCAAAGTGTAAATGGAGGTTTAAATAACATTTAACGACTTCTATATTGCTCGCTCATTTCAGTTTGTAGTTAACACATAGACAGTGTCTAATATATAGACCTAAGACCTACACTCAGCAAATGGTTCCCTGTCCCAAATATAGGAAACAGATTGTCTCCGTTTATTCGAATTGACACCCATCCAAAGCAAATTGCTCTTATTTCCGTAAATCCTCTTTTTTAGTGATTTACTAGAATAAAACAGATAGATTTGCGCCAACTATGCATGATCTTGTATGTCCAGTTAATACGATGAATTTGTAGCACGACATACTCAGTAGTGATCTGTTGAGATTGAGTGAAGGAGTGTTTCCAACTAGCATGTGTCCACTCAAAATAATAGGGTAACAACCAATGATGAAGACTATCGAAAACATTTATTGAGACGAGCTATTTATTGCAACATATGCAGACAACTTCAGATCCCTAAAACTGCACAAATAAAATTTACATTCTCATGTTCAGCAGCAGCAAGCTAATTGCGCCACTTTTCAACTGAAAATTTCGGTGCAAAAAGTTGACTCCAGTCCAAATTGTTGCGTGCTCGAATTAACTGTAATTCAATCTAGATTTTTTTTATTGTATTTGTAATTTTTGAATTGAATACATGATGATTTGTCCAATGATATATCATTGTTACTACAAGTTGGAAGTACACTGGACAAAATGATATAAATTTATTAGCAAATCAATTTATAATATCAACGTTTCATTTAAACACGACAGAATAAAATGAAACTACTGGTATAAGGGTTAAATGTATTGTTTATTGAACGAACGTTTTTTTCGCCCAGAAAATCAAGGTTGAGTTTGCTTTGGAAAGCCCCTCACTGTTCGAATGAGGAAACAATGCATATTGGACTTCGTTGGATTATTATTTTAATTGTCATTCTTATTTGTGGTTTTAGCGAGTATATACCACTAGTAAATGGGTTTAACATCGATTTAAAATCTCCATTACTCAAAACTGGACCAGATGGTTCTAGTTTTGGTTTTTCTCTATTGGGATACACTCACTTTTCAGGACAGAAAGGGTATACCTTTTTACCGTTTTTAAATTTTCCCGTTTATACAGTGTGGTCATAGGATCTCCCACAGAAGGAAACAACGGTGGACTGTTTTGGTGTCCACTTTTGAGAAGCACGTGTAGTCGAATCGATATTGATCTAGAAAAAGAGACTCATATGCAACCTGGACTAAATGGAGCACTCTTAGGATATTCAATGTCTTCAGCATTTAATAACAGCCGAGGACCAATTACTGTAAGTTAGCTTAAAGATTTCCTATATTTTATTTAGCTCTTTTTTTACATCATCAAACAGTTCAAAAGTAATGCATATCGTTAGGAACGTGATGTATATGAACTACAAAACACCTGTAAACGTTCAGTCATATGTTTATTATACGTTTATTAATCCTCAGAACTACCAGTATATATACTCGTTCCATGTTTTCTCATCATCTCTCATAAACCACTCAGACTTTCTTATTATTTCACACCTGAACTGGTTACATTTAATAAACCCACGTTTGATAACATTGTGTAAAAAATCCTCCGACGATGTTTCATATTCTAGAGTAGGTTAACTTTATAAGTCACAAGGAGTTTGAATGAATGGGATCTCTAAATCTGATTAGACTGTCTGCCGAAATGCGCCTCGTTAATGAATTGCAGGTTCATAATCAGCTTAGTGTAGAATTGCGGTTTGAATAAAAGTTAAAATTATTGCGTAAATAAATGAGTTAAAGTACTATACTTCCTAATTAACATGGTAGTAGAACGGTTGCTGCAAATGACCACATGAGAAACTTTTTTCCTAAAGATGCCAGATAAAAATGTAGAGATAAGAGTTTCTGTCGGGGTTTTGTTATCCTCTAAGGATTCTTTCCACACAAAGACACAAATTTATAGACAAAGTCTGGGTTCAAATATCCCTACCAGTTCTCGAAAGTGATTTTTTTATCAGTCCATACCTTTATATGTGTTGTGTTCACTTAAAGTGTTTAGGAAAAATCAAACGGGTCCATTGTAAGTAAATCGTATTTTTAGCAAGACATTAAAAGTTTACTTTATGTTTTTTTCAATTCCAACGACCCTTTTTCTACTGAAAACTGCTTATTGAACTTTGTCATCCAACACTGACTACACTTACCAAGATACATAATTATTTTCAACCATTTATTGCCAGTACTTGCTCATTGATGTACTGTTAAGTGGCTCTACACTGCCAAAAATTACGTTTGATATTTTGAGTTTTTCCGTTAGAATACATCCAAAAGCTATATAGATAATAGACATTAGAGTATTTCGCGAATAATATTCAGATAAACTGAGATTTTAATCTATGTTTCATGTTTCTAATGCTGTTAAACGGAAAAATCTAGTTCTCAATAATTATGATTAAAAAGACTTACACATATTAATAGAATTGTTAAATTGTGCTCAATATAGACACGAAATATGATTTTTGCTAAAATTTTAAAAAAATAAAGTATTTAACACCATAAATCATTTAATCAGGTTTAAATCTCTCACTCATGCTTCATAAAAGATACTTTGAAATCGCGCATAGAACAAACACAGGTCATCTAGGTTATTGTAACGTTACTATTCAGTTGTCAATATTGTTACCCACGATACCATTTTTTGTGAACACATCAAATTATGTTATGTAAAACATATTTACTAGTATTGGTTGAATAAGTGTTACATCTGAATACATTATTTATAAAATGCTGCACTGTACAAAGCAAGTGATAAGGTAGAACACAACTGGTTTTTTTACACAGCAAGAGCTCATCGGTTTGTTCAATTAATTCACGTTTAGTCACATTCATTAGGAATTTCTATTATGAAATTAATACATGATTATTCTTAAATGAATTCATGAAAATGTTTTTGGTTTGGGTTCAAGCAGAGGTTATGGAACAAAAGATCAAATATATCCTTTGGCCAGTTGCCAAGTCATGTCCGAATTGTTTGGTACATACCAACAGTTGTATGGCAGACCTAATTAGATGTCATTTTTCGTGTACGTTTACACATTTCTTGGTAGACAAATGGTATAGTTGCAAATCCATCTTATCTACTTTTGTACAACGTTAGCAGTCATCATCCTGTACATTACTGACAACATCATTTTTGTGTAAGCAAAATTCAAATAAACCCGTAAAATAGATCTAATTTACGTATCCTCCTAACTTAAAAGGGCCAAGATTATTGGGAACGCAACCAAGGGCACAATGTTGTTTTTACTTCCTAATGACATTATAGAATTGTCCTCTTCAATCCAAGACGTTCCAAACATTTCTCAGTAGTTTTCTTTTGAAAACATTTTAAGTATACAATGGTCAGGGGCACTTTTGATAATCACTATCTTAAAATTTATTGACTCATCAAAAAATAACTTAAAAAATTTCATTAAGAGAATGTTTGTGCTACTACCTCAGTAACAACTCCAGTAAAATATATGTGTGTATCTATTGGTCTTGGTTTTTTGCCCACAGAATAAAATCACAATTATGGTTTAAATGTTAAAATAAGGTTGCATTTATTAAGACAATTTCGGCAAGACGAATAATTACCTTAATGACCATTTCAACTGAATTACAGAATAATGTTTAAAAACTTTGTTGACAAATAAATTCTGTTTTTATATGAAACTTGATGAGCATGAGGAACTGCACTGAAAAGTGTGCTTCTCTCTGTGTGATAGAAAAAACGTGATAGTGTAACAATCTGGTTCATACAAAACAGTTCTATGATGAGTAAGTGGGAGTTTGAAAAAATGCAAAGTTAGAAGACATTCTGAAATTTATACTCAAAAATGACTGGACCAAATTGATGAATAGCTATTTTTAAACGTTTCAGTCTAACCTTAAACAAATTTATTCGAAGGTTTGTATTTGAAACAGGAGGTACTGTGTTTGAATCCTACTATAAATATAAGAGCTACAATGCAGGAATATTCAGCTGATGAGTTTCAAGTAGGTCAAAATATGCGTCCCAAACTCTAATGCTAGTCACAATCTAAATGATTTTACACAAGTGTTCATTAGTTGCAGTTTTTTTTTCAATTATTTCAGTCAGTATTCAATTGTCCGTAGTCTGATGATCTCCAGCACTTACCTAACAATCTACAAAGCTAACCATGTTAGAAGTAATTGTTCATAAATTGTAGAGCTATCGAGTAGAAAATGTCGCTATCAGTTAATAAATTGCCAAACAAGTATGAACCGGAGTGAATTATTGACATTATGGACTTACGTATATATAATTTACTCGGGTACCATAGTTGCAAAATCTTTCTTCAATGCCTGAGTCCGATGCCGAATGAAGTAGAGAGAGACTAGGAAAAATTCAACTACCACAGCAGTTAATTAAGAACGTTTCCTCTAGTTGGAATTAAATAGAACAACAATTCATTCATATTAGTTTTTTGAATTTTCCTATTGGCGTATAGGACTGCAACTGATCGATTTCTCTCGGCATATACGTATCCCGTAAGAATAGCTGCAATATTATCATAAAGTGATAGACATCTTAAGCACAGGCGAATAGTGCCTGGCACATATAACAAAAGCAACCGACTAATTGCATTCCTGAACATCAATGGGAAGTTTAAAACAACAATTGTATATGAATTAAAACTAAAATTAACCTCAGTGCACAAGCTAGTGGCTGCCTGGGTATAGTGGCTAAATGGATATCACAACGAATTTAGAAGCAAAGTTAATGGATTCTAATCCTAAAATGGGCATTAATTCTGGGATGTAGGTACACTCGGCTGATGAGTCCGAAATGCAACAAAAAGCGCATCCCAGATCTCACTACTTGTCGCCATCCATCTCTGCTTAAGAAATAGAACCATGTTGGATGAAACGAAACCAGAAAAAATACTATGACTTATCATGAATAAAATATTATAGTCCAGCTACTTATTTTCCTATTAGAGCTTTAAATGTGTGTTATACATCAAAAATATCAAATTAATCCTTTAAATAATCAGTTTGATCAATACAATTTGATTTATATTAGTATTTTTTCTATCTTAATTCCAACTGATAACAATTTACAGTCTAATCAATTGTGTCATGCGCCTATATCCAATCACCTGGTTATAACAGCTATTATTTACTACTAATACTAATGATTTTAAACTTTTGCATTTTTATTTAAAACAATGTTATTTTCTTTTTATCTACTCAAGTCTAAGTGACAAACAATCAGATGCATTTTATTTGTATGAGTACAAAAAGTGTTTGGCTGCCCGAACAATATACTTGTATCTATACCCATAAGCCAGTATGTACATACACAGAACGTAATATAAATCTGCTCATCAAATGAACATTTACTTGTTATTGAACAATTGAGCAGATATATATCTACATATATGTATACACACACGTTGAATACATTTTTTCGCTTATTTATATGTATATTTAAAGAAAATATATTTAAAGAATGAGTAATTGTTAGTACATTGAAATATATAAGAGAGATTATTGTAGCAGCATTTATTTATACTTTTGTTTAGTATTCTTAATCATTTAAATTAAAAGAAAAAAACGTAAGAACAAATAATAATAACAATAATAGCCTTGAAGAATAAGTTATGAGTCATTCATTATTGACTTTAGGTATTTGACTTGTTTTGTTGTTTGTTTGTTTTACTTAAGTCATTGTCCTGCCAACTACACCTATCCATTTCTGTAGAAACTGCTATATATTCCAGTTGGATCCGAACAAGCTTTATATATATATATATATATATATATATATATATATTCACATGGAAACACGTGTGTTATTATGTACGCAACAAGTATTTTATGTTTAATTCACATTTTTAACTGATGTGTTCTATTGATACCCTTTACGAATCTGTTTAAATCATGAATTGTTTTTTTACAATGTTTATTTCAATTAGAAAATGGAATAATTAAACAATTAAAAATGGTGTAGAAACTATCTGTTCTATTTATTGAACTTTATCCTTGGTTTATAAAAAATTACAAATTCTCAATTTTGATTTTGATTCTTTTTTGGACACTTTTTTGGATCTTTGTACAGATCAAAAACGGATTGCATATGTTGAAACATTGAAAAAAATTTCAAACAGTGTAATTTTTAATGAATAGAGCCAAATTAGTGATATGTTATAAGATACGTTTCTAGATTTTCATTACAATGTCAGCACAGTTGAGAGTAAGGCAAATGTCCACTTATAATGCTGTACCAAGATTAATAACGAATTACTTCTAAATAATATGACAAGTTGTCTTTTGAACAGAAGGGGGTTTTCTGGAGATTTTAGTAATTCTATAGTTGAATTCATTAGTCAATTAAAGCTAGACTACCATAGAAAACCTGG